AATGATTTCCCCCAGCGCCCGTTTCAATACCGTCTCCTGTCGCTCATCTGACCCATTCGTTATGCTGAGCCATGGGGAAATCTGATTGGGCTCATTACCGTCTCCTCACAACTGATACAGGAAGTGCAAGGAGAGAGAGAGAGAGGGAGAGAAAGCCTGTTCTCCAGCTCATTGTGAATGGACACCATCACTAGTATTGTCACTATCAGGGGTGTATGGCCATCTGCCAAGGCTCTCCCTATCTAACCTGGCTCTCCCTTTCCTTTGTGCTGTGGAAACAAATGAGCGTCGTCTCCTCTCACTCTGTCCCGCTGCAGTCGGGGATGAACGTAGCTAGCTGAGACTATTGGCATGCATTGTGTCATCCGTTCGGCTGGCTGGTGAATAAGAAGGGATGAATGGCAGATACTGTTAAGGGTATGTAAGGTAACAATCCACATCAGCGGTGGTGATTGGCTGTACATTTCATGAACTTTGCTCCAGGCAGGATTTTTCCTCTCAGCTTAGAGGCTTTAACAGAAAAGATTGTAGATTCACCTTTCTGGCCCAAATGAAATTCTGATATCATGTAAAGGGAGGATATAACTGTACACGGGGGGTGACAAATATGGCCTCACCACAGACTGTTTAACCTCTTTCTCACCAACAATAAGTAGCACACACAGAAGAAATTTAAGTCGGAGGGATGTGCATTTACCGACAACATGTCACATGATTTTGAATGTGATCGAGCTTTCAGGCGGTCTAACAATATGGCCGCCATATGGCCCTCAACAGCACTGCAGTAGCTCTGTTAACAGCTGACCGTGTTTATAACACGCAATACTGTATCAGTAATCCAACCCCTTATCTTGATGTACATAAAACGTAATTAAAATTCAAACATTCTGGCCTCTTTAGTATCATACCATTTAAAGGATTAGATAACCAGTTTATATGGGTGTAACCTACAGAGACTTGTGGTTAGTGCACAGTAGATAAGGTATACAAAATTTCAACATTCCAGTAATAAATGAATAATGAATGTTTGCTTGAAAGTTTTGCTTGTACCAAATTTCATAATTATGTCAGGTAAACTTCCTTATTAAACTTAAGTCTTTACATCTCCACAGGTTCGGGACTGCTGATGTGCACTACTCTGTTTTGTTCCATTTTGTACTAACAAAACAACAAAACCAATTGTATTATTGTCCTGTAATATAATCATACTGCGTGAGCTCTCTGCAGTGTGTTTTAATGTACAAGGCTGAAAATAAGCTGCATCTCTCTGGGAAAATCAACCACACTACAAACTGTAAACCACTAACAAAAAGTGCCTCGGACGTTATACACAGCTCACTCATAAATCAGGGTGAAGGGTGTTTTTGCCAGCGCTTCATAAAGCTATCAAAAAACAATCAGAGGTGGCATTTCAAGGATGACCTCTAAACTGCACTGCTTACCACTGCGCAGTTGATTCAGCATCAGAGTTATTGAAAACATGATGATATTTTCCCCTCAATAGCTACTTCCTGAGACATTTGAAATGAACCGTGGTCCATTGAAAGTGAGAAGAATTGTTTTTGAGGGCTACTTTGAAATTATTCATACCTGAAGAGCTCCATACAGAAAAGCTCTATTCTGGCTGTGAACTTTGTGATCTAAATAAAAATCCTCTGAATACAGAATAAAAGGGTCTATTGAGGCTTTTATGCAGCCCAGTGATGTGGCCGACGCAGCAGCAAGCATTGAGGATTGTGCCTTGACTTAGTTTTCCTAATTTACAAGGATGGAAAGAGTACTAGAATATTTTACTCATGCAAGAGTGAAATTACTTGTGGAGGAATTGACTCCGATAAAAGTGTAAAGTAGGTCAGTTAAAATGTTCTCTGAGTAAATGTTACTATGCTAAATTTTTGAAGTGTGGGGGGGTATGGTGACTATTAAACTATTAAATTAAAGATTTACCTTTTGAATTGTTGAATTAACTATTAACTAATTGTTGAATTAACTAATTAACTATTCAATAACTATAATGTCTTCCGGACATATCCGAATGACTACGGTGATAAATTAATATTACCCTTGATGATACATTAACTTTTCACCCAGCGCCATCAGCAGGTCAAAAATTCAGTTTGTCCAGTACTTTGGTTTATCTGCAAAACTACTTATCATTCTCATCAGCATCCACCGTATTTTTGTTTACCGGTCATTTCTAGCACGCTAACGTGCTAAGCTAAAATTGTGAACACATGCTGTGCCTAAACCTCCCACATCTACAAGTCACGGAACACGTCGAGGAATTTCTCAACCCAAGAGAGAGAAGGCAAAACAGTTGCGATGAGCTAGTCTTTTTGTCGAGATGTTGGTTGACACACTACACAGGATAAAGTCATCAATTGTCGTAATTTTTATTCTAGACACCCTAAGTCTGTCGGGTCAGGCTATTAGCGGACTGATATCACGTAGTCTGAACCTGGCGTAAGACAGCAATAAAGGAGATAGAGATAAATATCAAACTGCTTGCTTCTGCTTGCGCCCTCTAAACCTGTAGATCGATCAATCAGATTAACTTTATTGTCCCATACACAATCATACAATATAGATTTAGAAATGGATTTGAGTGTGACTTTCCAGCATCAGCTTGTTATCTAAGGAGAAAACATTTGCTTATGCTGTTGCAGCTTCTGGTTTTAAAGTCCATGACATAGTGTAAACACTGAGTTCATCTGTTTAAGCTTTGGCATCTCACTGCCCAGTGGGCCCTTTGACTTGGCCCCTCAGCTAAACAGGAACAACATTTTAGGCCACCGTGTGAAAGCACAGGCTCCTGTGTATTAATTGTCTGTAATTTCATGCTTGATGTGAACATTTGTCTTTCATGCTACAAAGGAACTGGACACATTTTGTGTACAAATGCAAGAATGAGCTAAGAAATGCTATACCAGCCAACTGCCCCTTAAAACCCCCTCATTTTGCCACTTTTGTAAACATACCAGACAGCCATGTTTTTTTACTGTAAAAAGGGCTTTGGGGGCTTTAAAAACAATATAGACTGATTTGAAAATGGTCTGGATAATGACCCTGTTGGCCGAGGGAGTCATTTAGGGCCAAATTGCTGCTTGTGTTGGGCTTTAGTCCATAATTAGGTCAGAATGCAAATGCTTGTATTGTGATTTTGGTCCGTGAGGACTAGCACAGCTCCAGCTTCAGTGTTTAGAGTGTATCCATGTGTGTCAGAGTGACTCATTGAGCCCCTCTAGTGCTGTTGAGCTGCGAGGAGAGAGAGAGCACCGGGGGCCGAGCTCATTCACAACCTTGCGCTCTTATCAAAACATGTTTATTGCACTCTAATGTGGCACCCCGTTTATGCAGCTTTTAACTCTCTGAAATTGTTGCTGCTGCAGGCCTGTGTGTTGCTCCAGGACTGTGGTGGGAGAAGGCAGGGAGCCTGGAAGGGTGTCTTTACCCCAGGCTCACCCTCTAACCTTCCACACTACTACATAAACTAATTCTACCTCATTTTCTTCCTCTTAGTTTTTCCTACTTCATCACCTCCCCCTTCTTCTGTCCACCTCCTGTTCCTCCCTCTTGTTGCATGTCCCCCTTTCCTTTCTCTTTTATTGATCATTAGTTGATGTTAGGAGAGGGAGGGGGTGTAATTAAGGAGCCAGACTGGTCTGTCAATTCTGTTCAGAGCTGCATGGAGTGCACCAGACTAAGCAATGGCCCTAATAGGGCTTCATACTGTAAACAACACGCACACCTGGACAGCCGCAGGCCCAAGGGAGAAACAGGAGAGCCACTGTTGAAAAGTTAGCACTGATAAAGAAAGGAACTTTATTACCAAAGATGTAGTGTGTGTACGTGTATGGAATATTTTTGTGACATGAATTTTCCATGCCACATTCAAATCAAATCAAAACAAAGTGAGGTGTACTTCTATGAGATGGAGATGCATTGTCTATGCCAAAATGAACAACAATCAACTGTTTCATCACAGCGAGGGGGTGGAACCATGGGCGGAGTTTAGGTTTGCTGTTAGTTGCCATCAGCTAAATAAAAGCGAAATATTTCATACATAAAAAGTGAAATACATACAAGGCCTTGTGCAACATTCCTTCTTATACAGCGTGTAGGAATCATTTGAGAGAATGTGTGGCATTCAATATTAAGCCAAATAAAATAAATAACAAGACATAGCTATGTAAACTTAACATTGTCTTCACCAAGTCACTATCATGGCTTGCCAATTTACTGAGAGTGTTTTTCAATTTTACTGTCATATTTCGTCACAGCTACTAACAGCCCATGTGGTAGTTGCTAGAACAAATCTCTCACTCCGCACTCTCTTTATAGGTCTTCATACAACATCACCTAACCTACTGTCGGCTATAACATTCTCTTGTCTAATAACTCTGTGACTGTCACATGACCGCTTTGCTTTAGAAATTTTAAAAAGTTTTTAAGCATCTAACTTAATGTTAAATCATTCCCTCTAAACTTCTGTCACAGCACACAGTGTTGCTCTGATGACACGTCATTGACAGCTGTTATATAATACCACTACCGACTTCCACTTTTTACTTTTTGGCAACATTTCTGTGAATCAAACTTTCCCACAAATTGAGCGGAACAGGTAGCCTAATATGGCAATTTCAGGGGCGCTGATTGTGTGAATGATCAAATCATGCTCAATGTTTGGTGAATCTAAGAATACGAAATGTTCTTGCATGAGGCCCAGTGTGAATTATTTGTTAGATTTTTTTTATTGAGTGTGTGTGCCTGTGTGTTTATAGGTTTGTGTTTTTTTTTTCCTTGGGGGCATGTATGCATCGTGGTCCACGCACGGGTGACAGAGAAACAGCCTTGTGTGCGTACTCCCGCTCACTTATGCTTCGTCTCTGTCCCCGTGTTAGGCCGACGCTGATCTGCGGCTTTAATCGATATAACTATCAAAACATCTCCGCCGCTGCCCTCTTGTTGACTCTGCGTGTCTCTTGTCTCTCCTCCAGAGAAAGTCAGTATGCTGTCAGCATTGATCGCTCCTTTCAAGTACATAAGCCCTGGGACCAGCAGCACAGAGGACGAGGACAGTTTAAGTAAGCTGCTGCCTCTTTTCTTTTTCTCTGTCAGCACGCTACGCTAATTCCCTCAGTGGCAGGCCTAATATGGAAATGATCTCTCTGTCACCCACATAATTAATTATTTGGGAAATGGGCTATTTGATTACGCACGGGTGTCAGCTTGTGTGTTAAAATCTGTATTATCTTATAAAAGTGAGCTATTGAATATTAAATTTGAGAGTTTGTCACAAATAAGTCATTAGATAGGTACATGCACGCCTCCATACACTATCTTCTAGAGCTACAATCTGCTCCAGCCCACCAGTGAATGTCAGCACTTGATCCCAGCCTCCCACTCCACCATTAACATTCTTGTGGCAAGATCTGAACACCCTATTTCTGTTCATTTCCCATCAGAAATGCAATACACCACAACTTGCCCGTAACTAGGTTTGAAGAGCATGTCACAGCTGTTCAGACATTGCTCTCACACAGGATAGAAGTGTGAAATAAAGCGGGCTACGGAAAATCCATCCTTTCTTGGAATGTCTGCCACTCTGGATGTGATCCCCACCCCCATTACAAATAGGATTGATGCTTTGCATTGGCCACAGGGACCAATGTTTCCCACTTACGACACAGATTCAGAACCAATTTGGAGGCAGATTACAGGATGATTTGGCAGATAACATCGCCATTTTTAGGGGATTTGTATTTGGATTTTAAAACACTTAAATATGATAGAGCCCTGCGGTATGAAGTGGGCTCGGCTCAGGCAGATGATTGTAGATTTGTTCATTACCATTTCATTGTGTATCAAGTGGCTCAATCTGCCTTGGGAGATTTTCCTTGATTCATTTTGCGAGTGTCACACAGTAATTCTTTTTGCTCTTGTGTTGGAAGTATTTTTTATCACTTTGAATTACAGTGTTTCCTTTTTGCTGTTATTATTGCAGGCACTAGCAGTGCAGAGGTGAAGGAAAACCGTAACATTGGCAACTTAGAGGATCGCTCCATAGGATCTCCAGAGTGCCAGTCGCTTTTCTGCTCCGACTCCGCAAGAAGTGGGAGCTCTGGTCTGAAGAGGAAACGGCCACTGGAGGAAGACAACAATGGGCACTTGTGTCAACTCCGCTTGATCTATAAGAAACTGTCCTGGTCTGAGGCACCAAAGAATGCTTTGGTGCAGCTCAATGAACTTCGACCGGGCCTGCAGTACCGCATGGTGTCACAGACAGGCCCGGTCCATGCTCCTGTCTTCTCCATCGCTGTGGAGGTGAATGGGCTGACCTTTGAGGGCACAGGCCCCACAAAGAAAAAAGCTAAGATGAGGGCGGCTGAGCTGGCCCTCAAGTCCTTCATTCAGTTCCCCAACGCTCCTCAGGCACACCTAGCCATGGGAAACATCTCGAACCCTTCATCTGACTTCACCTCAGATCAGGCAGACTTCCCAGACACACTCTTCAAGGAATTTGAGTCTTCACAGTGCTCCGATGGCCTCTCGCTCTGCAACTCAGCAGCAGAGAGCGAGCTACTATCGAGTGAGCTACTAAGACATGGACGGTTGCTTCGCCATACCTTAGACCTGATGGTACAGGCTCAGCAGAGGCTGGGTGGTATTGTTCCAGAGCCAGAGGCCCCTAAGAGCCCTGTGGCGTTGCTCAATGAGCTCCGACCGGGCCTGCGTTATGCCTGCCTTTCGGAGCGAGCTGAAGGCCGACGGCTGCGTAGATTTGTGATGGCTGTGCGTGTGGACGGGCGGATATTTGAGGGCTGTGCTCGCAGCAAAAAGCAGGCCAAGAACCAGGCGGCCCAGTGTGCTCTTCAGGCCCTCTTCAACATCAGGACAGCCCCTGAGGGGAGGACAGGCCTCAAAGCCAGCAGGAAGAGCTGTCCTCATTTACCCCAGGTGAGTACAGGCACATCCCTAGTGCCTGTCTTTTGGTAAGCTTCTTTGGCAGCTACTCCACTTCCTACAGGGGCCTGTAATGACCAAAACAGCAGGCATGCAGCGAAAAGCCAAACACCTTCCAACAAGTAATTAAGAAGGAAAAGAGATAGGAGCTAAAAAGAGTGGGGACAGAAGGGAAAATCATGGCAGTGCTGATAAAGATATGTGTAAGCAAGCTGGCATTTACTTTGTGTCAAAAAACAGTGCATATAGTGAACATACACATGATACATTGCCCGGGTCTTGAGTAAACAATGTCTGTTTGTTGGTCTATTTAAATAGAAAAGCATGTAAATGAAGCTAATTATTGTCCTTGTGCCTCTGACACAAGAAATCTGCATCACAGCCCAAATTAGTTTTTTTTTTCAGAGTCTTATGTGTTTGTAGAGCTGTAATTGGGAGAGTTTTGTAATTTTGCAAGATCTCCTGTTTCCTCATGTGTGGCATCACAGTGTCTACAAACATTAATTCAATCTGTGGCCCAAAGGAGATAGAAAAGCAAAGAGCAAATCGACAAACAAATCACCGAGCCCAATCCCATGCTCATTTACCCAAATATGTAAATAGCAATCAGAGCAAGGAAACTAGTTTTTGAGAAACTTCGGGAAATTGGAGAGCCTAAAGACATAGTGGCTGGATTGGCTGGCACTTGTTGACAGCCATTTAAAACTTAATTTCAGCAGAAGAATTTCATCCAAAGTAAAACTGCCCTGAGTAGATAGTCACACTGATTTCAGTTGTTTACTATTGTTTGCGTAGAGAAAAACCTTATATCCCAGCTGTCCAGGTCACTGGCATGTTGGCAGCTGCAAGTGAAACTTTAAATTTCCCCTCTACTTTCCTAATACTACACAAAAGAATGTGCAAAGCGCCACACTCTTGAAGTCTTAAATCTAAAAATTAAGCCGCACACATCCAAAGCGTCCTTTCCCTAAAGTATTTCCTTGAAGCCTTCTGTCGACAGACACGCTACCATATTGTGCTTCTGCGCGTCCTGTAGAGTGTTTGTCGTATTAACATTCTTTTCCAGCCTTGAAGAAATAAACTGGCGAGAGTGTCCTTCCCCAGAGCACGACATCAACCCAGCAAACGTGCACATGTTTGCCTGGGAGAAACTTTTTCTTTTTCTCCCTGCTGCCACGGTGTCTAAAAGGATTTTAAGAGGATTTGCCGCACCCGTTTAGTTCCAGAAAGCACTTGCTTGTGGAATTTCTTGAAAGTCAGCCGTGCTGTCTGCCAGGCAGAGAGAGAGGCATTTTATTTTCATTGGTAAAGAACAAAAGCGCACATACAATATGTATGAACGTATGTGTGGATAAACATATGTTACCAGGCATGTGTTTGTGAGTATGATGTGTTACATGTCTGAACTGTTGCATACTGGTATTGAAAAACCTTACAGCTCACATACACTCTCTCAATGTTTGCATGTGTGTCAATCTTCTTGCCAAGCATTGATTGCATGGGCAGCGTTTGACTACACTGCAGCTGTGACGCGTAATGTGGGGGTGGTTGCCAGCTGTAGCCTGGGGGTAATGCAAATGTTATGGTGGTATGCCAAGTTATGTGTGCCACCTCGGCCCGTTCTATTTTCCCAGAATTCCCTCTGGCTGTACCTGCTGCAGGATAAAGCTTTTTTGGAAAGATGTTAACAGTCCTGCAGTATGTAGCAGAAACCTCTCTCCTGACCATAAAATGATATGGTTCTATGTGACATTTGATGAAAAATTTGTAATTCATGTGACACTCTTCTTTGACAAGCTATTAATATTTTGTATTGGTATATTTTTAGCTTCATGTTTTAGTTTCAAGTCATTCTGTAACCTCGTTCTGCGGTTCCAGCAGTCCAGCTGTGAAGGTTCCACCTCCTTACCGTGTTGCCTCAATGCTTTGTAAATCGAGTTAAAGGAAATGACAGTGCTCAGTCTGTGGTTTTAAAAGAACTTCTTGATTAATCATTTTAACAGACACCTTATGAATGACAGGCGGCACGGTTGTCCGGTGTGTGGCACTGTGGCCTCACAGCAAGATGGTTGCGGGTTCAAACCCCGGTTGAACTGGCCTTTCTGTGTGGAGTTTGCATGTTCTCCCCGTGTCTGCGTGGGTTCTCTCCACGTGCTCCGGCTTCCTCCCACCGTCAAAAGACATGTGAACTAGGTTAATTGGTGACCTTAAATTGTCCTTAGGTGTGAGTGTGAATGGTTGTTTGTCAATGTGTGGCCCTGTGATGGACTGGCAACCTGTCCAGGGTGTACCCCGCCTTTCACCCAATGTCAGCTGGGATTGGCTCCAGCCCCCACGACCCTGTACGCAGGATAAGCGGTTGACAAAGGATGGATGGAAACTTGATGAAAATCTGATTTGCACCATTAGCTCCAAGATTATTCATTTGCTAATTTGGTTTACACAGCTTGTGTTTTGTTAGCAAGAATGATAGTTATTATTAATATCTCAAAGTTACTGTGACTATTTCAAAGATGACAGCAAATAAGGCAAAAATATAGTAATCTGGGATCATTTTAGTTACCAGCTAATGTTGCCAAACGTTTGTGATCTGATGCTAACTCATGTGCCATGGCTGCACTGTTTCTTGCCCCCATCAGACTTCCTTTTAGCAATATCACCATGCTCCCATATCTCAGCAAATTAGCTGTTATCACTGATGATAGGAATGAAGGCTAAAAGATATTAAAATGACACCCAAGTTGTAATGAACCAAATGTATCCTTTACGATTAAACAGTATCTACACAGTAGGCCATGTGACCATTATGACATATGAGTTATGGAAAGTTCCACCAAAACATATCAGGTGGTTTCATCTGAATAACTGTTCAACAGGCCTAAATAGATCACATTATCCACAATGCATGGCCTTAAGTATTTAATCCTAGTGGTCATATCATACACATACATTCTTATATCATCGTTGTTTTGTAAATAAACCAAATACAAGCCTAGTGTTCAAGATGCACTACAGTGGAAAATAGTCTTGACCCAACTTATTCTGCATGTACCCATGTGGATACCCTCTATTTACACAGGATTATTCATCCTGGCAAAGGAGGCAATGGGTCATCTTAATCATTCCCTATGGTGATGGGGAGCTTTCATACACAACCTCTGGATTGATTGGTTTACTTTAATAAAGACCACAGAGTATATCACTAGCCTATTGTCTAACCCCGGGTCAGAGCTAAAGCATAGGGTTAGTACAAAACTGCTTCTTCCTTCTTGCAAAAATAAGTGAGGACGTATAGAAAAAGAAAAGGATTCAACACTTGACTATATTGATGGGGGCAATGAAAGAAGGGGTAGGCAAAACTGCATATTAGGATATGGCATTAACTGAACAGAGTGCAACATAAGTACCAGGAGTACCAGGGGTCCATCAAACTTGAGCTGAGCTGAACTGGAAGGCTGGTAGCTGTGGAGTCCATCCCCCCGATGAAATATTTAAAGTCACGGGAACTGCATGGTGCTGACGGTCTTCACATACATACTAAGGAATAATACAGCAAGAGTGATAAGACGAGCATACAAGTGCACATCCCCACATGCAGGAGACTCTTTCTTGCAGTGATATAGCCAATACTCTCTTCCACCCCGCCTACGCTCATATCTATGGGAATTGACTTAAACAGTCATACCACAAATTACGCATTGGGCCACAGTCTGCTTGACATTAAGAGCTATTTGTCTTCCAGCAAGGACTTTAATTTTTTATTGCTTCATTTAACCTTTATTTATCCAGGGAAATCAAATGAGAATGCATTCTGCAGAGATATCATACCTTACATTGACTTTACTCTACTTATTCATTGCTGAGAGATGTCCAGTGCAACTATAGTTATATATATTTAGCAGCTCCCTTAGTGCTATTGAGACAGCACATATTCAGTAGTTATTCAGAGAAGGGAGGTATTATTAGCTGATCAGGGGATTCAGTTCAAGCCAGTTCTCTAAAGGACTATATAGAAATGATTGGGATGGGTAGGGTTGCTGAATATTATATTTTACCAGGAGCATTATTTAGATTTTCTCTCAACCTTTCCCCTTACTTCAACTGCATTACACACAACAGAAACTGTAAAACATTGCCTGGATTATGTTCACAGACATCATTTTTACGACTGAATGAAGTGCTACGTTATGTAACACACGGAAGTCGAAGGAAGATGGCCACAGTGGATGGAGGGTGTACAAAGTACAGGTCTTTGATATTGGAGACCAGGATTCTGTCTCAGTCCTGTGGTGTCTGTGGTTAGGTTTAAGCAAACAACTTTGTTTAAGGTTAGTGCCTACACATAGTAAAATAACAGTTTTAAATGGTATTGTTGCTATGAGAGGATAGGAGAGTATTGCAAGATAGGATTCTTTGGCCAAAAGCAAATTAAATGTTGGAGAACATTTTATACTTACATACAGTAACTGTTCATTAACACAGTTTCCTCATTATGTTGATAGAATACAGGCAGTGTTGCCTCTAAAAGGGATTTGCTGTTGCAAATTAGTAGTGTATAGTCATTTCTAGAAGACACAGATGCCACCCTGCATATGGAAAAATGGACCTCTATGGCGCACATGACAAATGTTTAACAGAGAAATAGGATATGGGGTATGAAAATGGAAAAATGAAAGTTAGACTATTCTCCCTTCACAAAAAATAAAATATAAAATACTTTATCTCCTTTATTGACCCCATCTCCCCTAATAACTTTTGGACAGTCCCTAACCTCAAGGTTACATTTGCCTCTAATCATAACTTTTAGTCTTTATTATCAATCATTTAGTAGGAAGCAGTTCTTTAATCCAACCCACTCTAGTTACCAGGAAATGTGGCCTATTAAAGACTGCACAGTGAGGTGAGAAAGTGCTGGAGTAATCCTTGACACCCATTTCACCAAGTGGAATTATTACCCCACTGTTCAGGCTTTGATTGGCCACTTAATCTCCCGT